AGGCAAGGCAAGGCAAGGCAAGGCAAGGCAAGGGAAGGGAAGGGACAAAGCAAGCAAGTCAGCTAGTCAACTAGCTCAAAAAATACAGTTTGTAGGGGTCAGCGAGAACAGAGCCAAGAATAGATCTAAGGGCTTGAGGATGGAGAAGAGATGGAAAATGGTACTAAAACTTAAATGTTTTATGAAGACATTATGAAGACTATATATTTATAGTTTAAATATTAAATATTTGAGATTTCATAAAACATAAATAGCTATACATAATGCAGGATATTATACATAATGATGCTGATTAAATTAAAAATGTCCATTAGGAATCTTTCTTCACCCTCAGTATATTTTGAGGGGAATAAAACCTTGTTAGGCATGATGGTACATGTCTACAAACCCAGCACTTAGGAGCCTGAGACAGGAACCTTCTAAGTCATAAGTTCAACATCAGCCTAAACCACATAACAAAATCTTGTCTCAATAACCCAACCAAACAAAAATAAAACCATGTAGTAGGTAAGTCTGAGGATGATCAAAGCCATCAGGCAAATTAAGATATGCACAAAGGATGAAAATAAAACCAGGACCAAATTTTGTCTTTTAAAGAAGAAAAACTGTTACTGAAGTAACTGTGATTTTGATGTTTTGTGTAAGTACATTTCAATAAAAATAATACTTTTTTAAAAAACAGCAACCATAAGTACAATTTTGAAAATCCCAACTATGTCAGCAAAATTCTATGCCCTTCTTTAAGTTCTCTGATAGTCAATAACGATTTACAGGAATTCCTAAAGGAATGATGTACACTCATCAAAAATGAAATGCACATCTTGGCACCAGAGAATTTGTGATCTGCTTAGGAAATAAAAAGTTTAGATAGGATGTGAATAATATTAAGAAATAATATCTCATACTGTGAAGAGTGTACAGTAAATATAGATCCAATAATGACAGGGTAATTTTTTCATAAGAAGGCCTAGAGAGAAACAGTCTTCTAGAATCTGCCCTCTAGACATATATAGCACAACTGATGTATATTAGAGTTGTAGGTTTTTTTTATACCAGAAATCAAACTCAGGACTTCATGTTTACCAGGCAGGCACTTTGCCACTGAGATACACCCGCTGCCCTAGAGTTGCAGGTTTAAAAAAAAAAAAAAAAAATCACTGAAAATCCAAGAGTAGAACCCATTTTCAAAAGTATTATGGTTTGTGTCTAGTTGTTCCCCCCAAACCTCATGCAGTCCTAGGTTGGACTTCAAGAGTGTGATTAACTCATGATCCACTGGGACTATGGGTGTGAGAGCTGCTGGGATTATGGGTGTGAGTGCTACACCTAGCTTGGGGCAGACAGCCTGAATAACTAAAGGGAGCAGACTTGCTCTCTGCAGCCATTGTTGCTGCTACTTCTCCATTTTGCTTTTGCTCTTTGCTGCTGCCATAAAAGGCTGTTCTCTACCTTGTGCGTCTCTGCCACATGCTGCTCTGCTTTGGAGCCAGCTGAGTATGGACTAAAACCTCTACAACTGTGAGCTAAATAAACGTTTCCTTCCTTCACTTAGAGTGTTGGGTATTTGTCCCAGGAGCGAGAGAAGAGTAACTGAGACAAAAAGGAAATAAAAACTACCTGAAGTAAAACAGAAGGGATAAAATCTTCCTGCTCTAGAGAGCTACATTTAAACCTACAACACACGTAGTGCTACCAAAGCTACTCAAAGAGGATTCTGAGCCACTTCTCTCTTCTGCCCCAAACTAGTAAGCAGGAGGCCTGCACTTACTTGGAAGGGAAGTAGACAATAGAGGGAAGGGTTGAGGGCAGGGAGGAAAGTATAAACATGACAAGAGGGCTTCAGCAGATTGGACATGTCTCTGTTAGAAAAAAAGAAAGATGAATCTGTGGGTGATGAGAGCAGAAGGACCCTGCTGCTTGGCAACAGCTCCTGGAAGCAGCTAACACCAAGAGAAAAGAGCTATGTGGTACAACAGGAAGATGGCCCAGGGGGTTTTATCAGATTCTGGAGCCTGATATAAGGCATAGCTGCAGCAAAACACTTTGGACCTTAGATCTTTTGGCCACTAATGCTGTGATATCAAGCAAAACTTCAAAACTATGACATAGTTCCAGGCTCAGGGAACTCCAGAAAGGTTAAAAATTTAATGTCTTGGTGTATGAAGGCTAAAGTCAGAAATTCAAATAAATACCAAACAGTCAAAAACCTTACACTTTTCATATACAGTATCTGCAACTTATTCTAGTCTGAGATTACCCTTTTTACATGTACAATAATACAGTATATGAATTCACAATATCTACTTTAAATTTTCATAAATAGAAAAGAAAAAATGAGCAATACAGCATTGTTTCATTTATTTGGTTCCATCAGTGAAGTGTTCCATGTAAGTTTTCTAGATGATTAAATATGGTCTGTGCTAATAATATAGATTACTAACTTGGCAGAAGTCTGGTTAGACTTACCAGACTGGGAACCACTGCCCTTACCCTAACTTAGTCTCAGACTTGAGTGCTTCTACGGGCTTTCAATTCCTTCAGCAGTGTTATGGTTTTTGTGTATAGGTGTCCTCCCAAAGCCTCATGAAGTCGTGGGGTGGCCTCTGGAGTGTCTGACTGATTATCATGGCTGTGGATGCTGCACATGCCCTGGCAACGTCAGGAGGAGAGAGAGGCTAGCTAGCTGCCTGAGCTGCTGTCACTCCTTTTGCCCTCTGCTCTTTGCCACCACCATGAACTGCTGCCCTCTGCCATGTGCCTGTCTACCTTGGAGCCAGCTGAGTATGGACTGAAACCTCCAGTGACTGCAAGCTAAATAAACCTTTTCTTCTTTCATTTTGAGTGATGGGTATTTGTCGCAGCAACAAGAGAAGAGTAACTGAGATAACTTGGTACCTCTGTCATTGCAGATCTCACTGTACTTGATTCTTCTTTCTTCCTATTTGAATTTTTTGTTTCAAATGAATATGGGGTTAAAAAATTAGATAAGCAAGCATTTTAAAAGTAGGCTTAAATTAAAGTCCAGATGCACAGAGTGAAGGTCCCAGGATTAATGGCCAGAGTTCTGGTTACTCTAGTATTTATTTTTTATGTATTTGGTACCAGGTCTCACTACACAGCTCACACTCACAAGTGATCCTCCTGTTTCAGCCTCCCCAGCACAGGAATTATAGGTGTGTGCTACCATGCCCGCACTTGGTACCTGGCTCAGTATGCCCAGGGGTGGGGCCATTGTGTCATACCACACCAGGGTTCGAATCCTGGTCCCTGGGCCTTCCTAGGCAGGTGCTTAGTCCACTGAGCTATCTTGCTGGCCCTTACTATAGTCTTTACTTGCTTTCGGCAAGGTTTTAGTCATATTTGATATGACTATTTTTTAGCTTATCTTCTTGAACTGTGAAGTTTCAGAAGGTGCTTCACTGCCAGCTGTGGGTGGGCAAGGGGATTCTGAACAGCCCCTCTTCTCTGTTTCAGCAGGAGGAGCCCCATTTTATATATTTTATACTATGATTTTAGATTATATTTAACAAAATAATTTTACTGCTAAAACACAAAAACTACTCTTCTAGAAAGCTGACCTTTAGATCTGTACAGCTAAATCAATATGTATTAGAGCTAGAATTTTATTTATTTATTTATTTGCTCCGAATGCCTTCAGGGGTTTGGCTGGCTTGAGTTGTGGGGATTGAACCACAGCAACCTGAGCCTGACTGCTTTGTTGAAGCAGCCACTTAAAGAACTGAGCTAAGGGGCAGGCCCCCAAATTAATTTTTTTTAGAGCTATAAATTTTAAAAAGTCTGAAACTCTAAAAGTAGAACCAATTTTCAGAAGGAAATTAAAATTACCTGAAGCAAAGGGACAAAATCTTCTTGTTCTAGAGCGCTGCAGCCAGGTTTTGCCAGAAGACAGATGAACTTAGAAGCATCATCATGATGGTTATGTAGCAACCTACAAAACAAATAGCTGCTTAAGGAAGATCTGCTACTGGGAACAAACAAGACCTAAGACACTGACAACTGTAATCTGATCTGTGGACCACTAAGAGCAAGAACTAAGTGCTTTCTTTTATTCTTTTGTAGTGCTCGGAATTGACCCCAGGGCCTTAAGTATGGCAGGCAAGTGCTCTATCACTGAGCCGGTCCCAGACCAAATGCTCTTTTTTCAATGTCCTCTATGCTTTTATCACAGGAATATCTAATGAAAGCTCAATTACAAGATGGCATATTAGTTTATAATATGTTTCTGGTGCTGAGATCACAGTCAACTGATCTAATGCAGGTAAAATACATATCATTAAAATACACTTGGCAGAGAATGTCCATTCAGCTGACAAGGGATATGTGGAACCAGAACTCCAGCATTAGGCAACAGGTAGAAGGGAATACTGAGATGGGATATTATGCAGCATATAAGACATAAAATTCTGTTGGTCCAACATTCAGGGATAATGTGATGGGCAGCTTTTGAAATCAGACTTATAGTAATAAGCCATTAAAAATGAGTTCTCTAGTCTTCTAAGATTACAGAATTCCTTACCTCAAATTATTTGACAGATATTTCCACTTATGGACTACATTTTGAAAAAAAATTTAAAATTTTGAAAATCAAAACTGAAATTTTCTTCTCAGAGTCAGTCCTTTTTCATCTATTTTTGCAAGAATGGTAGTACCATTCTTAGTTATCTGTGCTTGAAACCTTAAAAATCATTTAAATTTTCTTTTTCTTATTCTCCACATATAAGCAGTCTCTAAATTTTCTTGATTAATCATTTTTTGAATTATGTGTCAGGCACTGTCTGGTCTTGGGGATGCTTGGTACCCAAAGCAAGTAAGACATAGTTTTATGCTGTGTAAGGAGCTTACAGTGTAGTTACCAATAAAATTATACTGTTGCACAGTCATAGTAGATGTCATAAACACAGTAGTCATGGAAGGACACAGGAGGCCAGTGAGAGTCCCTGGAAAATGAAGTAGGAAAGGCAGGTGTTGTGGTGAAAGACAGAAGTCTGATATGAGATGTGTGGACCATTTGGCCAATTTCTGTAGAGGTGGTAAGAGAAGGAGACAAGTGCAGGTAGGGTCAAACCCTTGAGGCCTCCTTTATGGCAAGTCAAAACCCTGGACTTCTACCTACTCCACAGAAAAACTTCAATTTTCACAGTGATGTGATCAGATGTGTTTTTCAGAAATACCAGGCTAAAACCAATGACAGCTTCAGCATGGATATTAGCAGTGGGGAGAAGACAGAAAGCAGAAATGAAAGACATGGTAGTTGGTAAGGGTGAGGAATACAAAAGGAAAATCCATGAAGTTTCCCTTGAAAATCCCAAGTTTCTAGCTAGGCCATTAGATATTTGGAATAAAGGGTAAAAGTACTGGAGCCTCAAGGAATTTTTCCTCACAACATTTTAGACAGCTGTTTCTTTTTATTTTCCACTGTACCGTCATATTCAGGGCATAATAAATTCATACTGAGACTGTCAGAAGAGAAGAGGATTCTAGGGCTGGGGATATAGCTCAGTGGCACAGTGCTTACTTGGTTGGTAAGCTCAAGGTCCTGAGTTTGATTCCTGGTACTCCCCTCAAAAAAGAGGGTTTTAATAGGGTTCTGTGTTTATTCAATCTTGTCTTAAAGTCGATTTACTAGTGTAAAACAATCTTCATTACCATGTTCAGGAGCTCTCTACCACTTCTTTTTTTTTTTTTCCCCCTGTATTTTAGGGAAGGGTCTACAGGGTGTTCAGGGTCTCACTACTAGATAGGACTTGTAGTGATTCTCCTGTTTACAGTCTCCCACATGCTGGGATTACAGGCTTGTACTACCACGTCCAGTCTCAATTACCCTCTCAGCAAACCCTGGGGATGGGGCCCACATGGCAGGCCTGGGGACCCAAGCCCCTGCGCCAGCGCCTGCTTGCAGGCACTTTAATCTGCTGAGCTATTTGGCAGGCCCTCTCTACCACTTGTATCCATGAGCTGACAGTGAGAGGCTGGATTCTAAAGGTCCCCACCCCCCAAAAGCTTATGTGTTGAAGACTTGGTCCCCAGTACAGTAAAGTTGAAAGGTGAGGCCTTTCTAAGGTGACTGGATCATGAGGGCTCTGATATAATAAGCAGATTAATCCATTTACGGGCTAATAGTTTAACAGGTTTTGGGAATGGGATTTTCTTTTTTTTTTTTGCCAAACCAGGGATTGAACTTGGACCCTTGCGCTTGCCAGGGGAGCGCTTATTCGACTGAGCCATCTCCTCGACCTAGGATTTTCTATAAAAGTGAGCTTTTTTTATGCTTCCAGATACCCATGAATGGAGCAACTTTGTTTCACCACATGTTCTTCTCCGTGGTATTTTTACTTGGCACAAGCTCAGAAAGTAACCATGGACTGAAACCTGCAAAACTGTTAAACCAAAATGTCAAAATAAATCTTTCCTCCACCTTGGTTATTTTGCCACAATGATACAAAGCTAAAAAACCTACAGTGAACATTTAAAGCCTTTGTAGGTATTCTACAGCCTGCCTATGCATCTATGTCACTACTTTGCTACATGAACTGTCTACTCTAGGTTGTAGCCTGACCTATTGGCAGTTTTGCCTCTATCACTGTTTTATTCTGCTATAAAACCATCCTCCAACTTTGTGGTTTTAATGTTCTTTATTAAGAAGTAATTTAATAACCACCTCTTTCAAAAAGCCTTCCTTGACAACTGAATTCCTTATTGGTCTTTATACAATTTAGAGAGGAGTATATTTATCGAGAGAAAAAAGCTTCAGTTCAAGAGAGACCTGAGTGACTCACCTATTCTTTTATCTCTTTAGCACCTAAAGGGCAGGCTGAGTTATAGCTTTTTAAAATTTATCACATATAGGAAGTGACTTACACATAGAAACCTCTCAAAACATTTGTGATCTAACAGATGCATACTTATTTAACTTCATTTGTGATTAGAGCTATAGGAGAGCTTTTGTATTTATTTCCTTTGTCATTCTTCAATATATTCAAGGCCTCTGAAGTTAAATAAACAAATATTTTAGAAAAAATTAGTGTGGTAAGTGTTAATGGAAATCACTTCTTGGGCCAGCCAGATAGCTCAGTGGACTAAAGCTCCTGCTTAGGCAGAGCACAGTGTCCGAGATTTGCTGTGCCGGCCCTACCCCTGGGGTGTGCGGCGATTGAGGCTGTGTGTGGTGGCTCACATCTGTAATCCCAGTGCTTGGGAGGCTGAAAACAGGAGAATCACTACAAGTCCGATCTACATAGTGGGACCTTGTAAACCTTGTACTAAATATATAATAAAAATAAATAAAAAAAAGAAAAGAAAAATTACCTCTTAAGATTAGAAAGTGGATGGTATGACAACAGAAAGGTAGCAAGGTCTTTGTTTAATTTATCATTTTGAGACAGGATCTCACTGTGCAGTTCTGGCTGGCCTTGAACGGACTTTGTAGCCCAGGCTGGCCTTGAATTCTCAATGATCCTTCTGTCTCAGCCTCAAGTTCTGGAACTATAGGTGTGTGTCACCACATCCAGCTTGGTAGGAAAGTCTTTGAAAAGGAGCACTTTTACAAAAAAAAACAAAAAACCAAACCAAACCAAACAAACATAAAACAAATGAACAACAAAAAACCCACTACTGAATATATCCTGCAGCAGTATGATGGATAACTTACTCTACAAGGACAAAACCTTCAATTTTTCATGCCTGTATCTTGTAATCTGAGCAACTACTTTGAAGATATCAATACACAATGTATTAACTATTGTTACTCTCCTACTATCTTGTTTGGAAATTTTGTATCATTGTTTTTATTTTTTTCTCTTTATTTTTATTTTTTGTATTTAGGACAGGGTATACAGGGTCTCACTGTGTAATGATCCTCCTGTTTTCAGCCTCCTAAGTGCTGGGATTACAGGTGTGTGCCACCACACCCCGTTTCAATCGCTGTTTGGCTGATAAGTTCTTTAGAGCAGGTTAAAAAAAGGTAATAAAAATCATAAAAGATAAGCATAGCTACTCTATACTGGTGTTCTACACTAAACATAACACTTTTGAGGCAAAATAGTATTTTTTTAATGGACTGATGCACTGATATGAAAAGGCAAAAGAAAGGAGAGCATAGTAAAGCTAGAGTAATATTACTTTGTTGGAGGGGTTTTACCTAAAAACTGGTACGGTACTCCAGGAACTTAAGTAAAAAAGCTGTGGAATAGTGCTTTTCTCCTACATTGTCCCATAAGAAAAATATGTCACAGTGTAGCTATGAATGAGAAACAGCATAGGGAAAGCAGGGGAACAAAAGAGGCCGGGAGATGTTTAAGGTATTGTAGAATACCTATACTAAAGCTTCCAACCTGTGACTATTTCGCCATGAAGGAAATTATTTCCCTGTATTGTATCTTGTTAGTTTTTCAGATTACATAGAGCTTGTCATTGAAGTAAGTCAACACACATAATGCTGATCCCTAAATGTTTTAATTCTGCATCATTACTTGCTAGTTATTTTTTGCACTTAAAATTTTTAATACACTATTTTTGGACCTGGGTTGCTTTATGCAAATGTTGAAATTTATAAATAAAATTTAAAGACTAAGCACATATTTTCCTAGTCACTATGGTGATTCAGGTTATCATACTTAGTCTCCCAAAATAGCCATACCTAAATATACGCTGGCTTTAAGAGGGAATTTAAGAGCTCAGAGTGAGTTCCCACTAGAGGGCACCTAAGCCATGTCAGTATATGACCATGATGCTCTGATGCAGACACACATGCTTGCATAACTATATATTTTTAATGCCAGAAAAGATAAGGACACTCGCTCATACTATATTCATAATTTTGTTTGCTTTTTTTTTTTTTTTTTTGCAGAACTGGGGATTGAACTCAGGCCCCTGCGGCTTGCCAGGCAAGCACTTATTCCACTGAGACATCTCCCTGGCCCCTTATTCATA